TTTAATATTGAAGGAGTAACAAAAGTTAAATTTTAGATTAGTTAGGATGGGGCAAGTTTAACATATGTTCAAGTTATTAAAATAAAAGCACATTTTTGAAAGTCAATGATTTTAATGTGGGCAGAATGTCTGTTTTAAACAAATGATCAGTCCTGAAATAGTGCTTGTGAATATGAATATGCCAATTCCCCATCCCATCTTAGTCATTGGTTGGTATTTGGCTTGAGAAAGCAGTTTAGATGTGTGGTGCATTCCATGGAATCCAGATAAAAGGCCTGTGGAACCTGGAACATCTAAGGTCTGTTCCTCTGTATGCATTGGTGAGATAAAGCTATGAGATACCACTTTCTAGTTACCAAAGCTCCTAAGTCAGAAACATACAATGTAAATTAATAAATATGTATTAGAAACAAAATTGTTATATTCTAACAACATTTCTGTTTATATGTGGTCAATTCATAAGAATATAAAATAATCAGAAGGCCTTTTACCCCTTTACTGTAAGAAACCAGTCTCTGACTTTCACACGTATTAACTCATTGTATTGCTCCTTACAACACTATGAAGTGGCTATAAAAGCTCCTGCCCCAAAGCATTGACTTTTGAGGCTGGGAACGGCCAAGACTTATTCTGGTGGGCCTCCTGGGAAAAATTTCCCTCCCCATGTTAACCAGACTTGGTGCACACGCAGTGTATCTTGCTCTCTAAAGGGAGTTGAAGACAAGGATTCTGGGGTCCATGACCAGCCACATTCTCATACAGAGCCACATTCCTGTGCAGGAGATCCTTTCCAATGGCCTCTTTATCAAGGACTTTCACAGAGGCCTTCCTCCTGCACTTTGGTTGAAATGTCCTCTGGAGGACAAGACTCAGGAGGAGGAGGTGGTGTCTTTGGTTTAGCCTCTTGCCTATGCTATCACATTAAGGGTTAAAATCTTCATTGCTGACCACTCCATTGTTTGGCAGCTCAGCCCTCAGCTCAGCTCTTGACCTTCTCCCACTATAGATGAGGAAATTGAGGTACTGGGAGCACAAATGTCTTTCCCAAGGTCAAAGAGCAAGTCAGCAGCAATGTCAGGTTTCAAACGAGGCAGTTTAGGTCCCAAATCCATTCTCCTAACTATACAATATTCTCCATTGAGAAATATCATTGTCTGTTTTCCCATATGAATGTTCTGATAAATTCCATTTGCTTAATTTTTAGAGGGCAACTTATTTTCATCCTTTTGATATTCTCCTGGTAACAGAGGTTGTTGTTACAGTGTTCCAGGTAAATGAAACATCATTCACTGTATGATGACTACTCTTTGAAGGTTTAGTTTATTTATTAAGCCATATTTATGGAAATATATAAGAATGTTAGAATGTAGCATCATAATGTGTCTAGGGTTGTATGGAAATATAAAATTAAAACAAATATACTCATCTCCCTCACTCTCCTGAAGTTTGGATCAAGTAAATTCTGGAAAATACAACTTGGTTATTATTCCTAAATCACATATTTTTGAAGAAATAGTGTAATTTCAAATTGTTTTTGTAGATACTTCAAATGTTTTCTTCATTGTTTCAATTATACTCCAAATAATAGTCAACAAAAAGTCAGGTTGTTCTTAATTTTTTTTTTGTATAACAATTAGTTCTGTACAAAAAGCATATATAAAGAAATACTTTGCAATATGGCTTAATACTCAACTGTTCTCAAATTCTTTGTGGTAAAATTGTATGATCTGAAGATATTCTCAAGTAGAACACATTAATGTCCCTTTTTTAAATGCCAAAGGAAAAGTAAGCACATATATTTCACTTGATAATTATTACATATATAGATTATAATATAAATAGAACATATATATATATATGTATATATATATACATATATATATATATATATGATAGAAACTTTGTAGCTTATATCAATATAAATTAAATTAAGTACATAGATATATATTGCTATTTATTGAAAAAGACCAAAAGTAGTTTTGTAGCATCTCTGGATTTATTTCTGACTCGTTCTTTTTTATGTATGTGATGGATAAAAAAATGGATTCATGTAGCTTTCCTATTTATAAACTGCTATGGTTTGAATATTTTTGTCCTTCTCCAAGCTCATGATGAAACTTAATCCCTAAAATAACATTGTTTGGAGGTGGGGCCTGGTAGAAGGTGATAGGGGCTCTGCTCTCATGGATTAATGCTACCATATGCCCTATGAGAAATAGCACTCCTCCCTTCTCTATGATGGGGGCATTTCTGGGACCATTTTGGAGTTGAGACTAGCCTTTAGCAGATGGACTTCTCAGCCTCTAAAATTATCCCTCATAAATGAACCGTCTTAAGTATTCTGTAACTACAATACCAATGAATTAAAATATGAACTTATTTCTTTCATTTATTGATTTCTTCAGTAAACATGTTATCTATCTGATATGTGCTATGACAGAGAAAAATTGATGAATCCAGCCTTGTTCACAAGATGTTTCCATTTCAAAATGCAAGACCAAATGCCAGTTTTTATCTTTGGTCATTAAGGGGCCTCAAGGAAAAAAAATATACCTAATCTAGCCTGGAGAAAGGAATGCTTCTGAGAGGAGATGGCACCTGATGAATGACTTAAAGCATGACTATCTGGCAAAGGTTAGACAAAGGAAAACACAAAGGAACTGTGATTTTAATCCATAGAGTTGAATAATAGGCAGGAATTTGCTGAAAACTCTAAGCCATTGGGGTTTGTTTATATTAATCACAGTGGCAATGTTTTAGACATGGTCATAGTTAGATTTCACTGGACAGAGGAAATCTAACAAATGCAAATTTTTTTTTTCAAGTGAATTGACCAGAATTGGAAGCAAGAAGAGAAAATAAGCACAGAAGCTCCTAACCAGGAGGTCTATGACTCCTAAAAGGGTTGTGCCTATTAATTTAAGAGATCTTGAACTTCATTGGGGTAATGTTTCTATTTACTCATAATTGTAGTTAAAAAAGGATAGCATAAAAAATGCCATCTCAATCATTTTTATGTGTATAGTTCATTGATGCTAGAAGTTATACTGTCATGCAACTGATCTCAAGAACTTTTTAATCTAGCAAAACTGAAACTATATATCCATTCACGAGCCACTACATTTACCCTTACCTCCAGGCTCTAAAAAAATTACCATTCTACATTCTGTTTAAGTTTCACTACTCAAAATATTTCATGTAAGTGGAATTATACAGTATTTGCCTTTTTGTGAATGGCTTATTTCCTTTAGCAGGATAAAGCCAATATTTAAAGTATAGCTAATTCATTACTATCAGTATGGTGTCATGCATTACATATGATGTGTCAGCAAACAGAACTACTATGTAAGCAATAAAACTTTGGTAACAATTGGTGATTAATTTGCAAAGGACCACTGGTTAAGAACTCACTCTGCATTCATAATTTTTGCACCTGCAATTATTTGTATGCAAAAACAAGTGCAGCCACAACTGCCTAATTATAGGCACAACCATCCAAATTAGCCCCCCAAAAAAGAACAACACAAAGAGATACCATCTGTGAAAGTGCAGTAAACCCCTCAGACCTTTCCTGCTCCAAATCCTGTAAGGCTGGTGGGCACACTTCCCTTTTGGCTTCTGTCTCAAGCTTTATTCTTGCCTGATCTCATTCATGCCTTACAGGCAAGTCATTCTGATGAACGAAGAGGAGTCCATGGACCTTTCCTCTTATCAAAACCTTATGCTCATCTCCCTCTCCAATATAATGCCTACCACAGTATGAGCAGACTGAAAACAGAAGCCCTTCCTGAAGTGCATCATTTGCATTGTTAGTGCAAGGAGATTCAATTTTTTATTCACATGTATTTTACATAGTCGGGAACTTGAATACTGTAAAGACAGAATCTTATACAAATTTCTGATTAAAGGTGACAAGAAAATTATGTTACTCTACTTTTTCAGAAAAGGTTTTAGCCATTTATTAAAAACAGAGCTGTCAGTTTTGATCAACTATATTCATATTTCCACATTATATTATTAGGCCTATCATAAAATTTAATAATTGTCCCTTGGAGTCTGATTCCCTGCAAAAGCATCATAACAGAATCAGTAATATGGCAAATAATTATTGAACTATGTGGAGACAGTTATAATTTCAGGTGGGGAATATATAATAATAGCTGAGAAATTTAAAACCCAGGTTATTTCTTGATAAAGTTTCTGTTCTCATTCAAATGTCAATAATAATAAATGTGTGAACAACAGTCTACATTATGAAAATGAAATAGATTTCAAAGAGAATAATTTTCAAAGGTTTTAATGACAGTTCAAATGTTACTTACCTATGATTTAGCCTTATTATATAGTTTAAATCTGATAAATCCTCTGTGGTCTAAACAATATACATTTTCAAATGAGGAATAAGAAAATTTATTAATCTAAAGACAAAACCCAGAATGTAAATACATTTCTTTTAGATGAAAACTATTTATATCTATATTTAGACTGTGTGAAATTATCATAAAATATTAACATGACGGCTTTAGGGATAAATGATGGCTTAGAAATTCTAAATATTCACTAGTTTTTATTTTTCTAATTTTTAATTTTGTTCAAAAAACATATAGTAAATAGGAAGGTAAATTTTTGTTCTACTACCTTTTGCTCAGTAGGGAGAGTCATAAAAGTTGAAGCAGTAGTTAGACATTAGCCTTAAGTTTGTGGACAATGACGCCCATGTTTGGACACTGGAAATAAGATTCAGTGTTTCAGATTGGGCAATAAGGAACCATCATAAGAGAATGAGAATTTGTGAAGGGAAACCATCAATCCACAATAGAAGATTTTTAAAATTAGAATTAAAAGGTTGGGTGGCCATTTGTTCTGTGATATATAAATGAATATTTCAATCAATGAAATCCAAGTTCAAAATATTATTAATGGCATGATAAAAATAAGTTGATCATTTTCACATGACATAAAAGAACATTTTGAGACATAAAAGAGATAATGGTACTCACATCCTGAGCTTCCGTTTGTTGATACGAGAGTCAAATTGGAAGGCCATGGATTTCTAACAATATCTTGCCAATGAATGGTGTCTGCGTAACAAAGAAATTTGTTCTGGTCTACGTAGACTCCACCATTTAGAATTTCTGCAGTGAATAAACAAACAAATTTGTTGGTAAATTGCTTGTTGATGAAAAAGTAGTCAATAAATATAGTTTACTCACATTATTTTCAAAGCTGAATTAGAGCTACACTGTTAATCACCAAGATAGCTTAATATGTTTCACTGCATCACATTTGCAGAAATGTGAAAAGATTGAAAAGTGCAGAGGAAAACAATAACCATTGAATCCTAACATTGAAAGAGAAACACTTTCAACATGTTGACATATATATTATTAATTTCTTCCCTAATTTTCTGCTCCCTGCAATTGGACTAGTATTGTCTATAATATTTCACAATCTGCTAGTTTGGTTTAATATTATATAGTAAACAATGAGTGGCAATTTATTATTATTTCAATGAGAATATAATAAATATTCCAGAGTACAAATTAAACACCAATTATTGAATTGAAACTTTCTTGTCTTATCATGTGAAAGTTTATGTCAGTTTAGTCTTTAAAATAAATGTCCACAAAATGCTATACCAATGCCATAGAATGTGAACCATCTCAAGACTTTTTATGCAAATCATTAAACGTTTGTTCCAAAAGGCTTTTTCAGTAAATATGACATTGCCTGGAGTCAGTTGGTAAGTAATTAGTCTGACATGGAAGTTAAAATCAATGCTTCTATCACAACTATGCTCTTTGTCATCTCAAACTGAGTTTACAGAATTGTTAATTATTCATTAGGAATAACATAAAGCAATATCTGCTAAAAAAAAAAAACTCTTTGATATTGGGCTGGGATTATAGCTCAGTGATAGAGCATTTGCCTAGCACATGTGAGGCACTGGGTTCAATTTGTAGCACCACATAAAAATAAATGAATAGAGCTGGGATTGTGGCTCAGCGGTAGAGCACTCGTCTAGCATGGGTGTGATCCAGGTTCGATTCTCAGCACCACATAAAAATAAAGGCATTGTGTTGTGTCCATCTACAAAAAAGATTCTCTCTCTCTCTCTCTTTAAAAAAATAAAATACATGAATAAAAATAAATGTATTGTGTTCATCTGCAACTAAAAAAAAAAAGAAAAACTCTATGATACTTTGGAACATGGGCATAACCATTGGATAAAATACACTAAAGCCAAGTTCTACTTGATTATTTCAAAACTGGGCTTAATTAACTTGTCCCCTGTGAATAATGTCTGATTATCACATACATGAATTATTTTCCAGATAGCTAAAGTCATCCAGAAAAAAAGTCAAACATTCCCTCTGAAAATTTTCTTATTTCTTTACAAAATTGTCTGTAAATATGAATAGCATCTTCCTGCCTAATATTTACCTCATTTCCTCCTTCTTGTGCAAGAAAATATATTTTAGAATAATCATGCATCAGTCCATTGAGTGGTCAGTTTCAACTTAAAAAGAAAACTGTAGGTTATACAGATACGGATTATATTTTCTTACAGAGTAAGAAACCTTAAGGTGGTGATTGTAGATATTAGTTTAGCTACTCCCTGCTGCCGACTTCCTGCTCTGCCACCCTGCATGTTGGTTTTATTCATTCTAGGCACAAAATGGCTGCTGCGTTAAAGATATCTGATTTGAAGTGAAAGCAGGATGAAGACAGAAGAGATTTTCTCCTAGTGAAATTCTGACATTCTATATTGGGAAAAGATGCTCTTTTTAAGGAGTATATCTGCATTTTATTGGCCAGAACAATGTACTATGACTATTTCACAAGAGATGAGGAAGCAACATTGTAGGGCCATATCACAATTAGAAAAAAAACCAAAAAAAAAACCCAGTAGGGGTGTTAGTGAGGAAGGAGAGAGATATGAATATTGGGAAGGCAACCAACTCTGTCTCCCATGGTAGCACAGATGAAATAATCTCATTTGTGTAGTACACCAAGCCAAATTTTTAAAAGTCACCTTAAACAAAGAGGGAGATAAAAGAATGAATGGAATATCTGGCACTACAGATGAGTGCTTGTGGAAGCAAGATTGGTGGGCACATCCAAAGTGTCTTCCAACATTGCATGTTTAAAACCCACGAGATTAATGTTGATCTTGCAGAGCTTTCCACATTTAAAATCAGACCTGTTCTCATCATCAATCCTTTCACTGACTATTGCTTCCATTTTCTCAGGAAAGGTGAAAAAAAGAAACAAAAAGAAATTAGATCATCTTTCTACTTCTAAAACTCAGTTCATTATTTTTCATGACCTAACCATACAACTTTCATCAAAGCAGACGGGAGATGTAAAACCTAAAGAAAATTGTGAAAATGGATTTCTACATTAATGTTGGCATTAAGCTTCCATCTAAGAAGTGTGACGATCTCATACTAATAGCTTTCTCATGAGACATTAGGTGACGCTCTCCAGCTCTAGGAATAATTCTTCATTAGATGATAAAGAAAGGAGATCCTGACTGCTATCCAGGAAATGATGGCTATTTTTCAGTCTACATTTGGAAACATTTTACTTTTAAAAAACATAAAGAGAAAGGTAATAGCTCAAACATTATGAAATATCTGTATTTTTCAGGAGTCACATTTTAATTCAAATTGTTCATGCTAAAGAAACACAGGATCCATCTCCAACATCCTATCAAAAAATTTAAAATAAATTATATTATACTGAATACTAATCTTATCAAATCCCTTTCTTCAACAATATTAATCTGTTAGCATTGCTGACATTTGTCTCTTAGACATATTCTGTGAAAAAGCTTGGCTTATACTTGGAAAAGGGATTTGGAAAAGAGATGATAATGCTTTAAGTATAATCTTACATGTAAAAATTTCAAATTAAAGTATAATCATGATATAATCATGATCAATGTAGATCATACTTCTTGCATCACAAATCCAAAAACCAGCATCTGCTAGCAATTCTGGTTTGGAAAGTTTATAAATTTCTAACATTTAACATTAGATAATTTATTTGTGTATGTGTGTATCCCCCCCTCCCCGCCAGTCGTCTTTTATCTTTTTGGTATACATCCTTTTCTGCTTTTGAATGTCAAAAACTACACAAAGAATGTATATTTGCATTGACATTCACAGAAGAGTTTTAATGTACACTTTATCTTTCATTCTCTTTTGATTAACTTGATAATGTAAATATTTCTCAAGAAATTATGTTACAATTGCAATTATACATTTAAAATTTTTCTTTAATTTGATAACTTTAAAAAATTTCAAAATGTTAATAATTTGGTGAGAAAATATTTTATTAGGTTTATTTCTGGACTAAGAAAATTTTAGGGAATAGATTCTGGGTAGTAAGAAAGTTCTTAGAGATATACACCATTTACTTGATGGAAGAGATGTCTAATGTCTCTTATGCCTTGGTTAACTAAGGAGATTGGACTGTATTTTTAAAGAATAGAGTTAATAAAGAGAAATGCTTTGTAAGATATTTATTCCATAAAACAGCAGTAAGCTATCTCTCTATATTTAGCTCTATCTAAACACACAAGATGAGTTGCTTTCACAAGTTTTGTTAAAGGTGTATAAGAAGGAATCACCCTTGCTATATGAACACTTTCCCTCCCAATAACATGAAATAAAGTAACTAATAATTAAATTTTAAGTCCAGAACAAAAGAGAAAATTTCCAATTCTGAAAAACATAGGCAAATATGGCATAAATTTGACTGATACTCAAAGATGCATAAAACCTGGAAGAGCTCAAAGAATCAAAATTAAAAAGGATGTTGAAAAAGTGAATGAGCTCAATGTAATCTCATTCTATTGTATTTCACTTCCACTGTAGAAAATATATCCGAGAAAATTAAGAGAGACATAAATAGATTCTTGGTCATTTAATCAATTGGTAGAAAAAAAAAAACTGCTATGAGTTTTCTTATCATATTATATAAAAATATTTCCTGCAAGTTCACAAAACAGAGCTGCCTCTTCTTAATAAATGTCATGCTTAAATATGGTAAGATACATTAGATATGACATTCTGTTAAAAAGTATCATTTCATTACTGAAAAATTCCATTAAACACTTAAATATGTTTGTGTCTCAAACACTTCCTACTAGATTAATGCATGAAAGTGAGTAAAATATGCCATGAATCTTTTTAAGTTTAAAGTAAATTGTAATCCACATTAGTCTCCACTATGACAAATTTAACTTATATATAATACACTATTTATAACTGAGCTATAATTAAACTAAGTTTCATGAAGGCAAGAAATATTTTCCATCGATGTTTCATCAAACCTAGGCAATAGTTACCCAATGAATACTTATTAGATGCACCTGGGGGAAAACTGTACCATGGGGTTTGTTGCCACATTAATAAGTTAACTTCTGCTATAGTTCCTAATTTTAAATATATACTGACTAAATGCAAGTTACCTTTTCCCATGAATGCTCTATAGGTCATCTTAACTGGTCTGCTTCATTAAGGTAAGGCTTATTTCTGTTTTGTTCAAAGCTGTATTCCCAGTTTCTAGTAGTATACAAGGCACAAGGAGATACAGCAAATAGTTGTTTAATTTAAAATGATATGTATTTTGAGCATAAAATAGAGTTCTTATAAACTGAAAAGGAAATAGCTTTTATTATATAAAATACTTATAACTGATATTGTTCAGAATTACTGTTGACAACATGTTTTTATTTATGAGGCACATTTAGAAATTTTCATTATTTTTTTCCAAACCTACATTATGCACCAAACTCAATTATTAGTCACCAGTTGAATAATAATGATTTTGAGCTATTCCAGACCAAATTTCCCAAACTGGTACAAATAACCAAGTATATGCTATTCTCTTATGCTGCACAAAAACCTAAAAGTATTGTTAAATATTGAACTGTAAGTCTACTTCATATGGCTCCTTAATTTAAGTTTTAGAACAGTGTAAATTGCTAATATGACATCTGAAAGAGAACATAAAGTTCTTGTGTCTTAGCCTTCCAATCCTCAAAGGTTGGCCATAGACCGCTTCTTTCCTTGATTCGAATTTGCATAAATCTAATGAAGGAAATGTTTATGTTATTTAGATG